CAGCATCTCCGTGCCCTCCTCTGGCCCCGCTCCACCAGCTCCGTCTCCTTCTGCTGGTGGGACCCCCCGAGCTGGAGGCAGCACTGCAGGGGGGTCTCCCCAGAGCAGAGCAGAGCGCAGCAGAGGGGCACAGTCCCCCCTCGCCCTGCTGGCCACGCTGCCGGGGACGCAGCCCGGGTTGCCGGTGGCTCGCTGGGCTGTAATCGCCCATTGCCGGCTCACGTTGAGCTTCTCATCACTCAGCACCCCCAGGTCCTTCTCCTCAGGGCTGCTCTCCACCAATTCCCCACCCAGTCTGGATTTGTGCTTGCGATTGCCCCGACCCAGATGTAGGACCTTGCACTTGGCCTTGTTGAACTGCATGAGGTTCGCACAGGTCCATCTCTCCAGCCTGTCCAGGTCCCTCTGGACAGCATCCCTCCCCTCCAACGTGTCTACCTCGCCACACAGCTTGGTGTCATCGGCAAACGTGCTGAGGGTGCACTCCATCCCACTGTCCATGTCTCTGACAAAGACGTTGAACAGCGCCAGTCCCAGTACCGACCCCTGAGGAACACCACTTGTCACCACTTGAGGTCACCACTGGGACATTGAGCCATTGACCACAACTCTTTGAGTGCAACCGTCCAGCCAGTTCTTTATCCCCCCAGTGGTCCACCTGTTGAATCCATGTCTCTCCAAATTTAGAGACCGGGATATCGTGTTGGGACAGTGTCAAATATATATGAAACATCAGGAAAAAAATTAGGGTGATGATCGGCCTGCGCTCTGTCACACGCCGGGGCAGGGACGCTCGGTGCAAGGTGGGGACAAACCCAGCCGGGATTTTTGCCTTGCTCCGAAGATGATGCCGGTGGCTGAAGACCGGGATGCTCCTGGGATGCCGCTCCAGGTGTTTCTCCTCCTGAAGGCAGCATCTCCTCCTGAGCCATCACCTTCCTCCGGCAGCTGTAGCCCAAAAGGACCCGTTATGCCAAAGGGTTTATTTAAACGAGGCTAATTTAACTCTGGAAATGAGCTGGGCTGCTTGTGCCTCCTCCCTTTGCAGAGGTGGCGGAGGGGTGGGAACCCGCGGAGGGTGCGGGAGCGGCTCCGGAATAAAAATGAAGGGGGTTGAAATAAATAAATAAATAAATATGTATAAAAAGACAAATGGGGTCTAATTGGCGTAATGGGGTCTAATTTGTTTTCAAAAGCCGCCTCTCTCCTGACCCGGGGAATTGGCAGCGCGTGAAAAATACCGTCAGCATGCGAATGAGCCAGCTTCTCGGCAGCTTTATGGATCCCACCTGACACCAGCCCCTCGTTAAATCAAACCGGAGATAGTGCAAGAATTAAACTGTCGGGATGAGGCATGCCGATCTCTGCTGGGCGCCCGCAGC